TTTTTTGTCAGGGTGGCTCCTGCATCCACCCAGCATGGGTCTCATCTCCTTGCATCTGAGCTATTTTCTGAAGGACCATAGATGATGGTTCTTGGAGGACTGTATGAACTGCTACAAGGACTCCCACAGAAAGCAAGGTCTGTGTGTGAAGGCACTTACTCCATACCTGGACCATTGTAATCCTTCATTACAAAGACAGGATACAGGGGAGAGAGGGGAACTAGGGAGATATCGGTTAAAGGTCACAAAATTTCAGTTAGACTGGAGGAAGATATAAGTAATGCTATTACTGTCAGTATTATTATTCTAGAATGCTTACTATGAGTGTATGGAATTATTTTTTTGCAAAAATGAGACTCTATTTTATTGGTGCTTCCTAACCTGCTCTTTATTCACTTGACAATATATTACAGACATATTTCCATGTAAATATATACAGATTAACATCATCATTTGATGATCCATATAATTTTAATTAATTTAAGATCCATAATATCCACATAATTTTAAGATCAAAGATCCATATAATTTTGATTAACTTAAGTTGTTGAATATCGGTTTTACCCCAGGGAATTTTTCTTGCAATTACATATAAGACAATGCAATAAGCATGTTTGGAAATGTTATAATAAAATATGAGTTGTTAAACTTCCATTCTCCATATTTGGTTAATCAAAAATATAAAGTTCCGAGACAGACCAAATGTAACCATCACTTCCACACCACTAAAATTGATATCACCTGATTCCTTTCCAAACTCGTAAACCGTACTTTATTTTTAGTTGATATCTAAATTAATTAAGTGAACAATTGTTTCTTAGAACATCTACTATGTGCCAAACATAGTCTAATTGATGGGGAAAAAAGGATTACAAGGTCAAAGTCCTTCTGAAATATAAACAAATAACTGCAACACAATATAGGTGCACTATACATAAGGTATGTAAAAAGTGCTTCAGGCNCAAATAACTGCAACACAATATAGGTGCACTATACATAAGGTATGTAAAAAGTGCTTCAGGCACAGAAGAGGGTAATTTTGTCTGGGGCAGGTAAAGAATGCTTCAAGGAAGAAGCAACATTTATCACTCAGTCTAGAATGTTGGATAAAGGCAATATCACAGATTTTACTTGTCAGTGTTTAAATAAAGCATTTGATACAAGGTCAAAATATTATTCCCAGAAAAGAAATTCCAAGTAAACGTGAATGGTACATAAAACATACAGATTTAAGAGCTGAAGTTGGAGTTCTACTCTAGTTAGTGCTGTTACATCTAGTCAGTTACTTGTAGTTAGTGTTACTCTAGTTAGTGTGGTTATTGTGTGAACATGGACCACCCTCCAATTCCAGTTAATTGACCATCAATTTCCTGTTATTGGTTTTTAGGAGAATCATGTGGGAGAATGTAATTGGCCAATGCCAGGGGGATCAACTTTAAATGTATGACGACTGGCCACGTGTAATCCCAGCCATCTTCATAAAGAGACGCAGGCATTGTAGGAACAGTGTTCTAGGAAATAGACAGTTACAGACTTCAGGGTAGCATGGGGTTCCCAAATTAGAAGGTTTGATCATATGTGAGTCCAGATTCTACAACCTAATAGCGCTTCCATCTTTTGTTCATTCTTTGGTATCCCTGAAGAAATTACTTCTCCAGAACTCAGGTTTCCCAAACCTGATAAAAGGATTGATAATAATGTTTACATTATTTCACAAGGTTGCTGTAAGAGCTAAATAATATCTGCAAGAGTCCTTAGCAAATATTAAGGAACATTAATGAATAAAAATTTTAGTCTCAACAGCTTTGTCTTTGGGGTCAGTCAGTCCTGGCTTAACCTTCTT